TCTGGCGCTGAGTAGGCCAGGGCACCCTTTGTCCCCAGGGGGTCCCTCAGCGGCGCTGCGCTCTGGGGGCGGGCGCTCTCCCGCCCCCCCCCGCCGGAGAAGCAGCCCCTCCAGACCCCCTTCGGGGCGCCATGGCAGAGGCGCCCGCTGATGGCCCAGCGCTGGGAGGGACTCCGTGCTGCCCTCCCGACCCTGGGCCTGGGCGAGGCATGGCCGCGGCCATGAAAGCTCCCAGATTCGGGCGTTCGTTGACGGGGGCACCATAAACGTGGGTGAAGAAGCGTGCACCTGTCGTGTACCCGTTGGGCCCGCCGTGGCAGTTCAGGGGCCCTTCAGGGCCACTTTCCTGCAACCCTCGATCCCTCCACGTCGACGGTCGATTTTGCGTAGCGTGTCGCGGCGGCGGCCCCAGTGACACGCTATACCCTGTCAACTGATAGCGTGTGGCTCCGCTCCGCGGGGCGGGAGGCTCGGATTTGCTCGGGACGTTGACGTTCGGGGACCAGGACGTGGATAACGTTTCGCGCCAAGGCGCGGTGGGCCAGAACCGGCGGCGCGACACACGAATGGGAGGACGAACGAATATGGATACCGCTACTCCACGGACCTCTCACGAGGTGCGTCCTGACCAACATTTCAAGGCGACGGGCGAAGATGGCGCCATGATATATTATGTATACATATACGTATAACACATGTATATACATGCAAGGTGTTTATACATGTAGATATCTCATATATACACATATCGTGTACATGTACAAAGAGATATCATACAGTATATATATATGTATATATATATACATAAGTCTATACAACATGGCCCTGGCCATGATATCCACCCCCTAGTCATCGCCTCTCCTTTGGCCGCCCCCGAGGACAGGTATCCTGGCCGGATGGCGTGGCCAGTGTCGAACGGCCTGCGCCGACGTCGGGCGGAGTGGGAGGTTTGGCCCGCGAAGGCCAGGGGCGGACTTCCCTCCCCCCCTCGGGGGGTGGTCAAGGCAGGTGCGCACGAAGGGGATACGGTTGGGAAGTGTTGCTTAGCGTGTCGCCACGGCGGCCCCGGCGACGCGCTATGCCCTGCAAGTGTATAGCTTGCCGCACAGTTCTGCGCTGCGGGAGGCTCGGAAAAAACAAGGGATTTTGATCCCCTGCGGACTGGGAAGTGGACAGCGTGTCGCGCCAAGACGTGGTGGGCCAGAACCGATGGACCGACACGCTACGGTGGGGCATTTTTCTATTTTTTTTATCCTATCACCCTGGGGCTTATCATGCACAAACAAATTCAGAGCCGTCTTACGGCCCCGCAAACAGCGCTTGCGCGAGCCCGCAGCCCGCCAGGACCAGACCCCGAAGCGCGGCACCATCACACCGCGCTGAGGCCGACTTCAGGCCTGGGGTCCACCGACCTGGCCGCTCTGGCGGCCCTGCCTCGCTCCTGAGCTTCAGCAGCGCTGGCAAAGCCGAAGGAGCCCAGGGCTCCCTCGAGCCCTGGGCGCAACAGCCTCCCTGGGGCAGGCGGGGCGGGTGCCCGTTCCCGCCTCACTGGGGGCTCCACGCTCGCAAAGAGAAAGCGGTGTCCGCCGCCTACTGCTGGAGCTGCGCCTCGCGCCTCCGCTGCCGCTCCTGCCTGGCCCACGCCCCCCACGGGGAGCCAGGCCCGAACGTGTCACGGAGCCAGAGGCGCCCAGCTTCTAGCTCGGAGGCTGAGGGAGCTGGAGGAGCGTCGTCGCCGCCGTCTCCCTGCCAGCCCGGCCTCCGAATGTCACGGTCGACCGTGAGGGCCACGGTTCCCTCGAAGACGTGGCGGCGCAGCGCCAAGAGCCGCTTGGGCCCACGCGCGGGCTCCTGGCGCGCCACCGTCTCCGAGCCGTGGAGCGTACAGCCGCCACCGACGCCGCCCTCGCCGTCCTCCACATCGATCCCCCCGCCGCCAGAGCAGGAGCAGGAACCCGAGGGAGGCGAAGTGAGGAGGGCGTCGTCGTCCAGGCTCCTGCCGCCGTTGCGCTGGGGCCCAGCCGCCTCCACGCCGTCGTCCGTGCCGAAGTGCGGGGAGAGGTCGAAGCCGCCGTGCGCCACGGCATCCGAGGCCAGAGCACTGTTGCCGTCCTGGTTGCGGGAGCCGTCCACCTGCATGCTGCGCTCGCCGTCGATGTCGCCAGCGGCCATCTCGCTGCCACCGCTGAGGACGGCAGCCTCGTTGGCCAGCAAGTACGCCGTGACGATCGAGGGGTCCGCGAAAGCAGCAGGAGAGGAGGTGCAGGCAGTGCTGCACGCCGCACCAGGATCAGGGAGGCGATGAGGATGACCAGCACCACCTTCAGAAGGCCGAGGGGCAGGGTGCTCGCCGAAGCCGCCGCTGCTCTCAGGCCTGTGCTTGTCGAGCCCCATGGGCGCCGCCGCCACGGGAGCCTTCTGCGCCTCCTTGCTGTCGAAGTGGGTGCCGTGCGAGGCGCCGCCGACGCCGACTACGTCGCTGTCCTCGACGCTCCACTTCCACCAGCGCGGGCCCGAGGCCAAGGGCAGCGGCCTCGCCTCGGGAGCCCGCCTCGCGCGCTCGGCCAGCGCGAAGATGGCGCCAGGCGGCGCGCTGCGCCCGCGGTAGGCCCGAGCGACCGTCCAATCGCTCGGGGCCGCCTCGCAGGCGGCACGCGCCTCTGGCTGGCGGCGCGGCGGGGCAGGAGCGCCGCCTCGGAGAGGGGGGCGACGCTCCTCCGACCGCTGCCGCACATGGGAGGCTGCACCAGCAGAGCGAGGTAGAGGAAGAGCAGCCCGTGCGCGAACACCAGCGCCACGGACGCGACCGTGCCGAGCTTGCCCTCCGAGGTGTACCCGCCCCGCCTTCGCAGACCTCTGCAGGCGATTGAGGGAGGACTGCCGCATCACCGAAATTCTAGCGGCCCTCCTTGCTGCGCAGTGGAGCCCAGCGTTGCGCCGAGAACGGTGCAGCGGACACACACCAGCCACCGCACGGCTGCCGCTGCCCCACCGCTCGCCTGCCTGAGCCTGGGTAGGCTCGCCCGCGGCCGTGCCAGCACCGTCGCCTGCACCCTGTAGCACGCCGCTGAGGGGCATGCTCTGGGCGCCGTCGACTCGGTGAGCGCTGGCGGCCGCTGCTGCCTGCCCGCTCCCCTGCTCTCCTTCGCCCGCTCCCGCAAGCCGCAAGGGCCCAGGAGGCGGCCGAGGGGCCGAAAAGGTGTCGGCCGCCGCCCGCTGCGGGCCTGCCAGCACCTCCAGGAGGACGGGGACCGCCAGCGCCAGCCTCTCGGAGACCTCGCGGTGGAGCGCCTCGCTGGGAAGCTGGGCTGAGCCTTGGGCCGCCAGCGCCAGCGCCTGGGCCGCCGCCGCCTCGTGGGCGACCCGCAGAGCCGCGAGTTCCGCCTCGAGGACTGCGACGCGCCCCAGCGCCGCCCGCAGCTTGCCCTGGTCGGCCTCACGCGCCGCGGCCCGTCGGGCACGTCGCGCAGGCCAGAGCGAAGCCGCAGCCCCGCCGTGCTGAGGCGGCTCGGCTGCCGTACAGGCAGCTCGGCCGCCGCCCGCAGCCATCCCCCAAGCAGTCGATCTCTGCGGCCACCCGCGGGGCCCAAAACGAGAGCGCGCAAATGGGATCGGCTTGAGCCAAAATGGCTACGGAACTACGGTGGGGCATTGGACAAGGAAGCATTGGATAAGGAATCCAGGGTCTGGAGGCTGGTGGAACTCCAACCGAGGCTTGGCCATGGATATCACCGCCGCCCTCATCAGATAAGGAATCGTCCAGGGTCTGCAGCATCCTGGGCGTATTCCTTACCCAACGCCCCCACCGTATCCAAAAGTACCCGACCGCAGAGTTCGACGTCTGTTGCGCCTGGGAGGGGCGAGGGCGAAGAGGGTCGGGTCTAAACCAGCACCGTCCCTCAGAACGCCGACCACGACATCCCCAGTGCGGCGGAAATCGGCGGATGTTTCGGCCAGCGCCGACATGCGGTCTGGCACAAGGGGTCAGGAGGCATCCGGCATGAGGCCACCGCCCCCCTCGGCTCAGGCTTGTGGTGAAGAGACACGCAACTGAACAACATATCACCCCCCACGGAGATCCACTCCTCCTCATCCCTCTCCACAATTACTCAATATGAATACTACTCTCCCTCTTCCCCTGATGACGGTTTGAAAGTGGCCGACCCCCCCCGCGTACTGTTTTCTTGCACACAGGTTTCCCCGGAGTTGGGTTTTCGCCTGCATTTTTTCAAAATGCTGCTCTCGCTGAGGCGCCGACCTCATTTTCGGGCCCGCTCGTTCCGAATCGTGCTCCCGCTGCAGCGCTGGCCTCATTTCCGTGCTGCCGCTCGTTCCGAATCGTGCTTCCGCTGCAGCGCTGGCCTCATTTCCGTGCATCCGCTCGTTTCGACTCGTGCTCCCGCTGCAGCGCTGGCGTCATTTCCCGTGCCATGCCACGGCATGCAATGCAATGCTAGGTTGATACTACGCTTTGCGGTGCTCTTCTACGCCATGCCATGCCGTGCTCTACAATGCATCGCGTACCCTTTCGGGATCATTGCCCTGCTCGACATCCGATTGAGCGAGTAGAAAGGGGATCTGCGCCATGGTAAGGGATGGGAGGGAGGGGTAGGATGTCAGATATGACGCGAGCGCACCTAGCTTGCCTCTCCTCCCCTCCCCTCCTTACACATTCCTCCTTCTCTTTCCTGGTTCGCCTACTCCTTCTCCTCCCTCCTCCCGTTTCCTACTCCCTCCTCCTCCCCCTTCCTCCTCCTCACTCCTCCTCCGCCTCCCCCTCCTCCCGCTCATTCTCCTCGTCCTAGCGCTCATGTACCTCATCCCCCCAGTCCATCATTTCTCCTCCCCTCTCCTCCCCCATCATCCTTACTCTTCATTCCTCAGCCCCCGCCCCCCCTCTCCACCTTCCACCTGCTCCCCCTCCTCCTGGACCACGCTCCCTTCTTCCTTCCTCTTCCCTCCCTTCCCCCCTCCCCCCTCCCCCTCCCCTCCTTCCCCACCGCTCTTCACTCCGACGGCATGTCCTGCGGTTCAAGACGGGCATCTCAAGGCAGTCAAGGCCTGGTGGCGCAAGAAGTTCTCGGCGCCGCTCTGAGCTCCTGGGTGCGCCAGCGCACCCACAGGCAGGTTGCCGCCACCGCCACTGCACGGCCTAGGGTCGGTGGTGTCCTCGGTCTCTGGTGAGGGTGGTTCAAGGGCCAGGCAGTCATTACGTATACGCTCGGGATCGTACAGAACGATCGCACGTGCATGCCATGCGGCTGTCCGACGCGTCAGACGCGGTCAAGGACCTGCGCAGCGGCGAGCGGCAGGACCTCGCGAAGAGGCTCAAACACAAGGGCAAGACTAAAAACATGTTGGCACATCCCAACGCAACCCTGGAGGGGGTTCAACATCTACTGTGCCACCAGACAGCGTGCTACACCAGGCAAAACGTTGAATCCCGCATGCCAATCGCGGTTACGTCCTCGTCGTTTCCAGACTGCCGTGAAAGTGTTGGCGCCAGCTCGCGGATTTCGAGTGAGCGGGCAAACCCGACGCAACCGAGGACATGATCGAGCACATCGCCAAAAGGGTGATGCATCCGAACCTTGAGACATTCCATCAGGTCTTCGATCAGATGCTGATGATCCAGAACCTCACACTGAAGTCGAGGCGAGCATTGCCATCGACAGCTTGAGTCCCAAGTTTCACGGCCCATGGCATCGACACCTAGAACGAGAAGAAAATGCCAGCGCAATTTGGCGACCCTCTGGCGCAAGTGGACCATCCCCCCCACTGACACCTTGACCCTGAAGGCCAACAACCTGGCGTTCCACCAGAACCTGCAGGAGCAGAGCCGGCTCCTGGATGCAATCGGCCTCAATGCCCAGGAGACGGACGAGACAGTCACCAGCGATCCGGCCAGCGACGAGGCCAGCCGACAAACATATGTGGCACGCTGGACATCCCCAAGGGGCGCGGCAAGTGCAGCGCGCCAAATACAGCGGATCTACAGTACCACCGAGTCTCGCCTCGAGAAGAAGCATATCCGAAAGTTCTGCATCAACCTCCAGGTCGAGCGATTGGGAATGCATCGGCACTCTTTTCTCCCTCCTCCTCCCTGCTGTAGAATTCAGCCATGACTCTCATGATGCTAAATCTAACAGAGATGTTTCCCCGAGGGCGCGCCGCTGGATCACCCAAAGGGGGGGGGGGGTTCGGAAGCCCCCCCCCCCCCCCCCCCCTTGCCCGAGCCGTGGTCGGCGAACCCCCCCCCCCTTCCCCCCTTGCCCGAGCCGTCGTCGGCGAACCCCTCCCCCCCCCCCCCCCTTGCCCGAGCCGTCGTCGGCGAACCCCCCCCCCCCCCCCCCCCCCCCCCCTTTCCCGAACCGTCGTCGGCGAACCCCCCCCCCCCCCTTTCCCCGGCTCGCGCCCCGGCTCCGGAACCCCATCCCTACCACCCCCGCCCCGACCCCCCCGAACCCCTAACCTCTAACCCAAACCCTGAACCCTAATCCTTAATCCCTAACCCGAAGCCTAAACCCTAACCGTAGACCTAACCCTGACCCCAAACCCTAACACTAAGCCTAGCCCTAACCTAAGCTCTAAACCTGAACCCTTAACCCTAGCCCTCAACCCTAATCCCTAACCTCAACCCTACCCCTCACCCTAAACCCTAAACCCTAACCCTAACCCTAAACCCTAACCTCAACCCCAACCCTGACCCTAAACCCTAAACCCTAGCCCTAAACTCTAAACCCTAACCCTAAACCCTAACCCTAACCCTAAACCCTAACCCCCAAAACCCTACACCCTAAACCCTGACCCTAAACCCTAACCCTAACCCTAACCCCTACACCCTAATCCTTAACCCTAACCCTAACCCTAAACTCTAGCCCTAACCCTAACCCTAAACCTTAACCGTAACCCTAAACCCTATGACCTAACCCTAAACCTTAACCCTAACCCTAACCCTGAACCCTAAACCTTAACCCTAAACCCGAACCCGAACCCTAACCCTAAACCCTCACCCTAACCCTAAACCTTAACCCTCAACACAAACCATACCCCTAACCCTAAACCCTAACCCTAATCCTAAACCCTAAACCCTAAACCCTAACCCTAAACCCTAACCCTAACCCTAACCCTAAACCCTCACCCTTAACCCTTAACCCTAACCCTTAACCCTTAACCCTAGCCCTTAGCCCTAAACCCTTACCCTAAACCCTAAACCCTAAACCCTAAACCCTAAACCCTAAACCCTAAACCCTAAACCCTAAACCCTAAACCCTAAACCCTAAACCCCCCCTAACCCTAACCCTAAGCCCTAACCCTAACCCTAAACCCTAAACCTCGCTCGCCTCGCGCGCAGACTGTTGGACGCAGGGGCCGTCGGCCCCTACGTCCAACAGTCCGCGCGCTCGGCTCGCTCGCCCCGGACCCCTGCGGAAAGGGGGGGAGGGGGGTGGGGGGGTTCCGAACCCCCCCCCCCTTCAAGGGGGGGGGGGGAGGGGTTCCGACCCCCCCCCCTTTCAAAGGGGGGGGGGGGGGGGGTCGAACCCCCCCCCCCCCCCCCTTAAAGGGGGGGAGGGGGGGGGGGTTCTCGGACCCCCCCCCCCTGAAGGGGGGGAGGGGGGGGGGTGGGTTCCCTGGAGCACACCCCCCCTTTTGTGTATTCAAGGTGATCCACTGGCGCTCTTTCTGTTTCCCCCTCCTTCTTCCTCCTTCCTCCCGCTTCCAAGGAGGACGTCGGAGAAGGAAGGAGGAGGGAGGGGAAGAGGGAAGATGACAAACAGGATGATGAGCAGGGTGTGGATGTGTACCAGGATGAGGAAGACAACGATCTCGCCACCATCGTCCACCCCCTCCCTCTCCTCATTATCCCTGCATATCTTCCCCCTCCTCCTCTTCCTCCTCCTCGTCCTCCTCCACGAGCGCCTCTTCCTCATCATCCTCATCGCCATTGACGTCGTCGTCCTCCCTTTCCTCGTCATCCTCGTCCTCTCGTCCTCTTGCCTCCATACCTCCCACTCGTCCTCCCCCACATCTATCCCCCTCCCTCCTCCATGTCCCCGTCCGCCTTCTGCCGCTGCACTCCTCGTCCTCCTTCTCCCCCTCCTCGTCCGTGTCGTCGCCGTCGAGGTCGTTCTCCTCCTCATTCTCCTCATCCTCCTCATTACCGTCCTCCGAGAGAGCGCCCCTCCTTCCCGCCTGCAGAACGCCTTTGGAGTGGTGGCCGCGTGGCTGCTAATCTCCAGCGGGCTGATCTCCATCGGGCTCTCCGGCCTGCCGTCGGGCTGCGGGGGGGGGGGGGGGCGGGATCCGCCTCGGGCGCCGTCCTGGGGAAGATGCGCGGCAGAAGGCTCTGAGGCAGCACCACGCGCGGGAAAACAAAAACAAGACTGGCCGCGTGGTGCATCGCTGAGCGGAGTAAGGAACCGGGGGGAAGTGCCGGCAGGATGCGAGAGAGCTGGGTGGGGAGAGGAGGCGGGCGGACGCCCCGACGGCCCTTCTCCTCTCGAGGCGGAGTTTCCGAGGCGCTGCCCCCTTACAAGACGAGTGGCCCATGGCCATTCGGGCGAGGGCTCTGTTTTGAAAGGAACTGCCGTGCATCTTCTAGCCATGCGGAATGCGGACAGGAAAATTCTGAAAGTTTTAGGAAGTGCCCAACGACGGCCCGTTGTCAAAATAAGCCGCCATCCATCCGTGTAACTGTAGGCACTGTTACACTCCCGTTTGAAAGAGAAACACCCCCAAGCCGCGCATTTGTTGCATTAAACACGGCTACACGTCTACTCGCATTACTGAGGAAGCCTCAAGAGAGCCCGATTTGGAATGATGGGCGCCCTTCGCCCTCATACCTGTTCGAAGCTCCAACGACGATGGCGCGCGGCGCTCAAGCGAGAGCCACATGTTGAAACCAACCTGGTCTCCATTATTGTGGCCGTTCTGACTTTCAACCGTTATGATCAAAACAACATGGGGATACCACAAACGAGACATCCGGCCCGCCCTACCGACATGTCTGGCAGTGCGACGAGGAGGAGTTATTTCTAAACATAAGGAGAAAGGCTGAAGGAGAAAAGAAGAGGAGAAGCATAATGAGGTAGGGGGAGAGCGCCAGTGACTTCTTTGGCATGCGAGGGAGGTGCGGAGAGGTCTTCCTCGATGCCGCTCCAGGAGGTGGAAACATGAGGAGAAGGAGGAGGAGGAATAATGATGCAGGAGGAGGAGGAGGAGGCGGGGGGTTCTCGGGGCACTCCTCCTCGCCCACCTGTCTTCTTGGGCCTTCGAGGCGCCCTTAGTCGCCACGGCTGGACGCAGCTCAGAAAACAAGTCAGGATGGTGCTCAAGAGAGGCCTGCGGTCTGCTCTTGAGCGGGCCTCCCCCCAAACATACAGGCACTTCCTTTCACTACGGCGGACCCCCGCCGGAAAAATCATGGCCCCACGAGACTGCATAGTGAGAGTCCAGGGTGCTTGGACAAGCTGCTTGGAGCTCCGTACCACCGGCCAGATTCATGAGCGCCAGGAGCTTGCAAATTTGAGAAAGAGCCGCCCTGCGTCTGCGCGGCTGTTGGAAATGCCAAGCCCTATGGTCATGAATCCTGGGAGGGGGCCGGGCAAGCGCTCGGCTTTGGAAAAGAGCCGCCGTTTAGTTTCGCAGTTCTGAAGGGCTCAGGCCCTGGGGCTAACGTATTTACGGAAGCCAAGCCGGACGCGAGCTCTAGATTTTGAAATAGTCCGCCCCAAATCCATGAAAGTGTTGGACTCTCAGGTCTTGTGAACTTGATGTCGCCGCGGGGGCCCCAGCCAGACAACACTTTCGTGCAACAGGCGTTTACAATCCTCCACCCTTCGGTCTGGAGAGTCCAGGGCGACCCCAGCTATCGCCCTCGACTCCCCCGAAGCTCCTGAGAGGGGCCCAAGAGGCCCCCAAGAGGACCCAGCGAGCGGGGCCAACAAGGGGACCTCCCCTACAAAGATGGCTCCCGAGACCGCCAGCAGCAGTCCCCCAAGGGGGCAGGCCCCCAGAGACGCCAAAGAGGCCCTTAGGAGGCCTCGAGGCTCTCGAGACGCCCTAAAAGAGTCTCCAACAGGTCCCAAGACGCCCTCCAACAAGCCTCTAAGAGGCCTCTGGTCCACATGTGCATACGGGGTAACTCTAACGCGGACTAAAAGGACCAATGCAGGCAGCAAACACAGGAAAGAGCAGGAGGAGAAGCAGGAGTAGGTTGGAGGAGCAGGAGGGAGGTGATGAGGTGGAAAGAGGGTTGGATGAGCAAAATAAGCTTGGAGCAGGTGGAGGATGGAGGTGGGCGAGGATGAGGGCATGCATGCAGGAAAACGACATTGGTTGAAACGGTCCTGAGCCCTGGGGCTTTCCGCGGGACCAGCTCGTCATCCCTAGTTGTTGTTTACGATCCATGGACCCGGGGAGGGCCCTGGGAGCCCTACGTCAAACTGCAGAAATAATACCAAAACCCAATTTCCTCCAGGACCCCCTGTCTGGCTACCTTGAAGAATCAGCAAAACAAAAAACACCCGTCCCAAATCTCTCCTGGCGGCCGTCCTGGCCTTCATCTCGGGGCGGATCCAGCCGCGGCGACGGAGGGAATCCTGGAAGACCAGATGCTGGCCAAGGATGGGAGCCGCACGCGTACGCACACACTGAGGTATGTGGGCGTCAGCCCGAGACTTTTAGTCAGCGGGCGTAAGAATGCAAAAGCGGTCAAGGCGCTGGTCGAGCTTCGGGCGGGACACACCAAGAATTATTTGAGGCACAGCGTCTGCCCGAAACAGAACGCACATGTTTTGTGGATCGTTTCGCGGAGGCGAGCCTGCTCTGGAGAATACCCACGATGCCGTGCGCGGTGGCGGCTGCGGATCGTTTCGTGCACGGTCATGCTCCTGCCCCCGCGAAAACGCCCGAGGACTTCGAACAGTCGAAGCCTCACGGGGCAAAAAGCGCCCATTTCAATGCCCCCCTTCAACGGGGACCTCCTTCTGCTGAACCAGGACATCGGGCACGCCAGAGAAACTGTGGCCGAGGGCAGGAGGATCACCCAGTCTTTGCTTCATACGCAGCCAGAACAGGGACAGTATTGGACCGAGAGAAGTCGGGGATCTCGGAGAGCCCGCGGCTCTGGAGGATGCATCGGGGACCGCGGCCGTTCCAGAGCGCTCGGGGACCGAGCGCTCTGAAAAACTGTGGAACGATGCGGAACGGCCGACTTGCCCCGGTCCTGACCCCGCCCGATCATTCTCTCCAGGTGGACTGTCCAATGCCCTGGTTTAGCGGTGTCCTGGCCGAGGGGCCCCTGCCCCCAGGGCGCGGGGGACGGCGCCGGCCCGGCGCCGAAGGCCCCGCCTGCCCGGCATCGGCTCCCCGACCTCCAGCACCAGGGTCGGCTGGACGGCCGCCGCCCGCTTCTCAGCGGCGGGCCCCTGGCCTGGCGGGGCGGGGCGGGGCGGGGGGAGGTCCCACCCTTATTCGTATGGTTACACGCCCGTGGCGATGACAATCTCAAGGATGTGGCCACACAAACGGGGGAAGTCTCAAGATCGGCGCCGATATAGGGCGATGCCAATCTTAGAAAAGGGACAATTTGCAGGCTGGTAAACCGTCACCTCATCAGCATCATATTCACCAGCATCCTCATCATAGCCTGTATCATATTTATCTGCATATTCAGCCTCATACTCATCTTCACCATATATGCATAAGCATCTCCTTCTCCATCTCCAGCATCATCCCATCATCTTCATCAGACTCCTCGTTCTTATCCTCATCCGCATCAGCATCCTCAACATCATCACCATCATTATCATCCTCAGCATCACCATCACCATCATGACCATACTATGCGTGTTCATTCTACAAATTTCTGCAAAGTTCTTGAAGGGGGCCCTGGAGGAGATCCACTACTTCGTTTCAGTGCGATGAAAAGTGGGGCGGGGATCACAGGGCTGACCAGCCGGACATAAAGCAAAACAGTGTCAGCGATTCGCTGATAGCAAGCCCCTCAAAGGGTGAGAAAAGAAAATTATCCCAGAGCGACCCTACTTAGGAGTTGGAGCCCCGAGGAGGCGTATCTTGCTGCGCACCGAGCGACAGCAGGCTGTTCAGCTCGGGTACGCTCGGCTGCGTTGTGTTATGCTAGGCTATGCTATGCTATGTTATGCAGCGCTATGCTATACTATGCTATGCTATGCTGCGCTATGCTATGCTATGCTGCGCTATGCTATGCTATACTGCGCTATGTTATGCTATGCTATGCTAGGCTATGACATGATATGCTGCGCTATGCAATGCTATGCTATGCTGCGCTCTGCTATGCTATGCGATGATGCGCTCTGCTATGATATGCTATGCTATGCTGCGCGATGATATGCTATCAATCCTTTCCCCGCGTAGCGGATCGACCCAAACTTTCAGAGCCCCCCCATCGATGTAATATTCCAAAGCGGCAAACTGTTTAACGGGGCCGAATACCTCATAAAATGGAAAACCCGATTTGGTAAGCTGGGCGATGACAGCGTCTCGGGTAGACGCCGCCACAGTCGGGGATGTCGCTAGAACCACCAAGTTATCACAATACACGCTCAACACGAGGAGGTCTGAGCGCCACTCTGGAACAGGGGCCCCCTCCTCCACGAGCCTCGAGGGTGTCCAAGGCAGTGCGAGACATATTTGACGGATGTGAACACGTTGTGCCAACCACATCGCCCAGGTCCGCCCCATGGACGCCGAGCGAAGACGAGGCCTCACCTCTGAGAGCCCGCGCAGAGCCCCGCCTAGATGAGCGGGCACACCCCACTCCAGGAGCAGAGTGCCAGGCACAGTCGGCAGCGCAAAGAATTGGCCGCAGCTCAGGAGGCATGGCCAACCAGAAGAAGTAGTCTGCGAGGTCGGAGCCAGCACCCCACATGCCGTGCCCCTGCAGCTCGGGGGGGGGGCCTGGAGGCCGGCGAAGGCGGAGCCGCTCGCCATGCGGATCTTAGGTGGACTGCGCCATCGTACGTTGGCAACTCGGCAGTCCCACGCCAGCCGCTGCTTCCCAGATTTCTTGCGCGCGATGAGGGCACGCGGTTTCAGTGACCGCCGCCCCAAAACCCACGAGGTTAGACTCGAACAGGTCGCGGACGAACTGGTAGTACAGAAACCGATCCCGCTTGGGCCTCACGCCCATGTAGGGCTCAATGCATGCCAGCTGGTCCATGATGGCTCCCATCTCGACGGGCGAGCGGAGCATCGCGGTGGCGTGGCCGTCGATTACGCCTCTTCCAGAATTGTCGATGACGCCCATCAGCCGCGGAGGCGAGGCTCCCGCAGCTGGCATCGAGACCCGGCCTCGATCATACGGCTCCACGCTGCAACTGGAATCCCCCCCAGCATAGGATAAATCCAGTCCGCAAAGCGCCCTTCAGGGCTTCGCGGTCTTCGTACAAGGATGGGCAACAAGGCCTTGCCGCCAACGTAAACAACATTTGACCATGGGCCGCGTGATGCACGCCCGTCGGCTGAGAAGAGGAGATGGCAGCCGGGGAGGCCAAGTCGTTGAGCGTATCAATGACCCCACTGGCGAGTAGCCGTCTCGCTCGCCTCTTCGACATGCGCTTGAACACGGTCGAGGAGAGGCGCGGGTCAGGCCGCTCATCCACCTTAACAGCTGGCAGTGACAATAGGTCACGCAGGCGACTGGCATCTGCATACCTCTCAAAACCTGCCAAAGTGGGGCTCCTGGGTAAGGCAGCACGGGTGGACCAGGTCCGTGCACCTGAAGGCGGCGGAGTCATTCGCCCCCCTCCCCGTCGGCCAGGGCGAGCCCGCCTTTTCCACCTCTGCCTCTGCCACCTCGACCACCTCCCTTGCCCTGCTTGGTGCGCCGCTCCTCGGCAGCCTTCCGAGACTCCTTGAGGACGGCGGCCTCGCCCCTGAACTTGGTAGCCATGTGCGCCGCCAACTCGGGCGCCGCCGAAGCAGACGCTGTGGCCGGCCCCCACCCCATGAAGTGGTCGGCCCCTGGTCGGCCCCCGAAAAGTCGGGTGCAGAGGCCGACTGCGCGTAGGCTGACTTGATCAACTGGAGCCTCCTGATGGTGGGCTCCATGCACTTCAGCGCTGGTATGTCGAGCTGATCGTGGCAGACCGCGGCGGCGAGCACCTGCGACAGGACGAAATGCTCGTGGATGGCCCAGTCTCCCTCGTGCAGCTTGGCCTTGCTGATCCAGGCCTCGTGCGCCGCCTGGGGGGTCGGGCCGTTTTCCGCGATGTGCCAGCATAACCAGGCGGCCGCACGAGGGCCCTGCAAGTCGAGGCCCCCGGCGGGCAGGGTGTCATCCTGCCTCTGCACGCCCTCACTGAAACCGACACGCCGCGACCCGCCTGCATCGAAAAACACAAGCTGAACTCGAAGATCGTCATACGTGAATCGATACACCTCTGGGCGCGTGAGCTGCCTCAGGAAGACGCAGCCCCCTTCCACGGCATGATGGCCCGATCCCCCGCCGAGATGGTGTCGGCCGGCAGCTCCATCTCCGTGCCCGTCGGCAGGTCCTCAACGTCCTCGGCCGCGACCCAGACGAGGTCAGCCCGAGGGGCAGGGGCGGCCAGGCCCGCCGCCTGGACACCCTGGCCAGGGCGCCGGGGGTCGGCGGGCCCCTGTGGCGGTGGAGGTCCAGCTCGAAGAACAATGTCATCACCTCCGACACGTCGCACCCGGAGACCGTCCGCGGGGGCTGGCATCCGAGCGCCAAGGCCGCATCGATGAAGTGCTGCCGCAGCTCCTCGACGGCGGGGGGCCCCCTGAAGCGGTAGATGTTGGCCCCCTGAAGACCATGGAGTGTACCCCCAAGGCCCACCGTCCCACAGATCCTCTCAACGTCCGCTGAGGCGGGGGAGCAGTCCTCCACGTACGCATCACCATCGGGCGTGAGCATGAAATAATTGCCCGCGTCGGTGGTGGACCGCCAGCACGATCCTCTCATGCCATAGGTCCGGCCCCGGCACATTGTACTTCAGGAGCAGCACATCACCTGCTCTCGTCATGCCGACGCGCCTGGATCAAAGCCAGCTGCTGCTGGGCGAGGCGCTGCAAGTCGTGTTCGGGGACTGGTGTCACAGGCACTGGGGGCTCCGGCTCGGGTCGAGCAGCACGTCTTCTAGCGCACACCCAGGTCGGTACCGCGAGGGGAGCCCCACAGACCCAGCCCGCGACGAAGACACCAATCACTGCGATGCCGTACGCCAGGTACCCGATGAGGCCCGGGCCGCTCGCCACGCACTCCACCTGGACAGGCGGGATGTGCACCTCGGGGCAGTGCAGCTCGACCTGAGCTGGCGGCGGCGCTGGACAGGAGAGATTCACCACAGTGTCGGGCCGCGAGCAGATGGCGGCAGACACAGCAGACTGTAGGGAGAGGTCAAGAAGTTTGGGCAGCCAGCCGTAAAGATGCTCCCACATGCAGGGAGAAAAGACTGAACCAAAAAGGGCTAAGCGACAGAGCAACATGCAGGCGGACTCAACTGGGAGCAAACTCTGGAGAAGAACGACAGGGCCGAACGGTCATTCATTGTCCCTGGGTGTGTGGCTGAACTGGGGATCCGTGGTGAAGATTCTGTTTGTTGCGTTGTTGTTTGTTGTCGTCGTCCCACCCGCGACCCACCCGCAACCCACTCCGCGACCCACCCCGCGACCCACCCCGCGAGCCCACCCGCGACCCACCCCGCGACCCACCCCGCCACCCACCCCGCGACACACCCGCGACCCACCCTGCGACCCACCATCGACCCACCCCGCGACCAAGCCGCGACCAACCCGACCCACCCCGCGACCCACTTGCGACCCACCCGCGACCCACCCCGCGACCCATCCGCGACCCACCCGCGACCCACCCGCGACCCAACAGCGACCCACCCTTGACCCATTTCCGACCTGGCCCGCGACCCACCCGCGACCTGCCCACATTGATTTAAAGAAAAGATCGGCCCTTGCGGCGGGCTCGTTGTGTAATTTGTCAAACTATGGGATTGCGACGGGTTTCTTCAAAACCACGCAATCTGCCGACGTCCCCACCGCCCCCTCACTCTGATCCGCATCTGCGGGTGGGTGGGTCGCGGGTTTGGTCGCAGGTGGGTCGCGGGTGGGTCGACGGTTGGTCGCGGGCTGGTCGCGGGCCGGGTCGCGGGTGGGTCGGCGGGTGGGTTGCAGGGTGGGTATCGGGTAGGTCGCGTGCGGGTCGCGGGATGGGTCGCGGGGGGTGGGTCGCCGGGTGGGTCGCGGGTGGGTCGTGGGTGGGTCGCGGGTTGGTCGCGGGCCGGGTCGCGGGAGGGACGACGGCCCTCTCACTCTAGCTGACTGGGTCGCGGGGTGGATCGCGGGGTGGGTCACGTGTGGGTCCCGGAGTGGGTCGCAGGTGGGTCGGTGGGTCGTGGGTGGGTCGCAGGGTGGGTCGCGGGGTGGGTGGCGTGTTGGTGGCGCGTGGGTCGCGGGTGGGTCGCGGGGTGGGTCGCGGGTGGGTCGCGGGGTGGGTCGCGGGGTGGGGTGGGTCGCGGGGTGGGTCGCGGGGTGGGTCGCGGGTGGGTCGCGGGTGGGACTACGACAGCAAACAAACAAACAACAGAAACAACGCAACAACGCAACAATCATAATCCTCACGAACGATCCCCATTGCAGCCACGCTCCCATGGACAATGAATGACCGTTCGGCCCCCTCATCCTCATACATATATATATATATATATGTTTACTATATCTATGTATATATATGTGTATATATATATATATATAGATATACATAGTTATATGTATGGTCGGCCTCCCACCAGCACCCACAAACCACTTGTTCAACTCGAGGGCGCGATCTAGTCTCGATTTTTTCTCCGTTACCTCATATAGTCCGTTCAGTTGGCTGAAATCACGTAAGGATTCGCTGCGCTGCGTTGTGCTGCCGAAGCCACCCAACGCCGTTACCCCGTAGTGTTCCGAAGCATTGCAAAGAGCATAGGCCACCAACATCTACTATGTTCTAAGGTTCTCGGGACACCCGAAAATAGAAAGCAACCGCGCACTGCTATTGTCTAAGATGTCTCAAATTTCTCAGATGGTTGCGGGAATCTGAAAAAAAACACATACATACTAGAAACTAGCAGTGCTTGGTGGCCTTTATCCTTCGGAGGCCTCATGGACCTTAGAACATAACAGCATTGGGAGGCCATTCTGCGTTGCTGTGCGCACGAAACTACCCTACAGGCAGCGGGAAGATCCGGAATCGTCGGGATCTGTAGTGGTAGCAGCGTTTGGTGGCCCATGCTCTTCGTAAAGCTACGGGGCCTTGAAAATATCATTGTTTGGTGGCCCATGCCCGTCAGAATGCTGAGGATCTGAAGAGATAGCAATGTGAGCTTTGCTTTTCTTCGAGGCCAGGTGGGCGCTCAGACGCCGTTCCAGTAGCCGTTTGCCCGGCAGCCAGGAACGGAAAAGCAAGAGGCCGACTAGGGGACAGTTCCAAGCTCGGCGACTCGACAACTCCGAGACCTCTGTGCAGATCCGCAAGGAAGGAAATAAATGGGGGGGCGCTTGAGCCAACGAGGTCACGGAGAGAGACGAGACTCCGCGACCCCAAGGCGGCCATTCCCCAAAGACTTCAGACAAACAGTATCGTGGTAAACGCTTGGCGCGTGCGCTTTGCTTTTCTTCAAAGCCAAATGAGCGCCCAGACGCCATTCCAGTAGCCGTTTGCCTGGCAGCTGGGAACGGAAAAGCAAGAGGCCGACTTGGGGTCAGTTCCATGCTCGGCGACTCGGCAATTCCGAATTTTGTCCAAAGAGCACACTGGCCGCAGGCCTTGATATATTCAGCCGAATGGTTGGGGGAACAGGCGGAAGATTGTGTCAGAGAAGCTCTGAGCGAAGGCAGCGCGCAGACGAGGGGGGTGCGGCTCTGAGACCTTGCTGTACTTGACGCCACAGGGGTGGCTGCCAATTATCTCGACGCGTCGCTTGCCAGAGAACGAGCAGACGCCCCGGCCGCAGCAGGTTTGTTTTTTTCCCCCCGAGGTGGCTGCGCGAAAGGTGGGCGCAAACAAACCTGGTGCGCTTGCGCCAGGGGGTTCCCCAGGCGCAATAGTCAGTGACACGAACATCGATGCCCTGGGTCTTAGCAAGGTTCTCGAACGCTCGTACATTCCACAGAAGACTGGTGCGAGGGTTGGCGACAACACAGGAGATGCCCAGCCTTCTGCAGAGGTCGAGAAGACTGGAGGCAACTGCACACAAGCGGTTGGCTATGTTCACGACGCGCTGGTCTGACGGAGAGAGGGGGGGGGGCCGAGAGGGAAGGCCCGGGACCGAACCAGCGAGCAGAGGCACCCACCGGAGGGCCGAGCCAGACAGCAGCGATCAGACCAGCGCGCGCACAGCCCCGAATTCTTGGAACCAGAGTCTCATTCAGGAGATCGAAATGCGCGCCATGTCGGATGTCGACCTCAACGATCTCAATGCGTTTCAGGCACGAGCGGCGCCACGGGCGAGAACAGGAGAAAAGCTCGAGAGCAATCGGGATTCAACTAAGCGACGCGCGGCGGATGGCATCCTCAAGATCCTGGATCCGATGCTGGCCGCAGCTGCGTGGGCCCACCGTTGCACGGCCTCTGCCGCCCGCGGCAGCTGCGCGGGCAGCAGGCCGCTCCGCTCGCACCGTCAAGCGCTGCTGTCTGGCGCCCATGCCCCCGCTACTGGATCTTGGCGAGCGGACGGGCGCGGGTGGCCAACTCGTGGCTGGCCCCCCCGCGGCGCTGGCACAACGGAAGCTGTCCCGGAGCGCCGAGGGCCACGTCGACCGCGGCCAGGGTGAACAGGGCGGCCCAGGTCGCGTACTTCAGGTCGGGCAGCGGCCGCGCGCCGCCGCGGTCGGCTCGGAAGCAGGTCAAGAGGCCGTCCACCCCCGAGAACTCTGGGTAGTCGAGGCTCAGCGACTCGTTGAACTCGTCTGACTTGGGTGGGGCAAGGTTCTCCGACGCGCTCAGCAGCCAGGCCCACAGCGAGAGAGCCCGCGGGCCGCCGCGCGGCGGCGGGACGGCGTCCTTCACCCGCGGGCGGAAGGGCTCGGGCGGCCGGATGTAGAACACGAGGCACAGGAGCGTCGCCATCAGGTCCTGCCGGCAGTACGTCAGGGCCGCCATCAGGAAGGACCCCGCGGAGCTCGGGAGGCCATCGAGGAACTGCTCGTTGGGGTGGGACGTCACCGCCGAGTCGAGCTGCCATGTGTTGTTGTTCGCCAGGCCCGTCGTCACGCACCTCTGATAGAACGGGCTCACAATGCGTCTGTACTGGGCCGCCTGGGGCTTCCTCACTGCGCGCTTCTTGGGCATGGTCGGGCCGTGCTCGTCGGTCGCGGGCCCCTCGCGGTAGCCCCTGTGGCGCCGAACTGCTCGATCGGCTCGCAGGTCTGCCTCGACCTCGCGGGAGGGCCGCGGCTGACTCGCCGACGGCCGCTGGCGGAGGCCCCGCCGGGTCGAGGCGGCCGGCCCGGGCCGGGCCGAGGGCGAGCTCGTCCGCCGGGCCCGCCCGAGCCGCGCGGCGAACGCGCGGACGCAGCGGCCCCGCTGGCCGTAGGCGCCCCCTCCCCAGGGAGCACGGCGTGGCGCTGGCACAGAGACCGGCTGCGGATCGGCCTCTCTGGGCCGGGGCGAGGCCTCAGCCTACTCCCCCTTCTTGCATCTTGAGCCGCGGCCAGCAGGGTTACGCTCTGACGGGGTCCAGCGCCAGCGAGACGTCACGCCGAAAGCCAAGTTCAGGGTGGATCTCTGCCGACAAACTCTCATCAGCTTCGAGGATGATTGCCCCGTGGGCGCGGCAAGGATGCTGGCCATGGCGTCGCCTAGGAACAGGTGGCGCTTCCCGAAGTTGCTCAAGGCTCTTGTTCTGTGGAGGTAGGCCAAGACCATGGCGCGGCCCTCGAGGATCACCTGGGCCTCCGAACGGGCCCGCCTCTTAGCCGGGGCGCGGCGCCATTCCCCATCCCAAACGTCAGAGCCGATGTCAGGGAAATCCTGGGAGCCGGGCAGCTGAGTAGGGACTGAGGGGACCTCCGGGACTGGACCGTCGATGGCGAGACCTCCAAGAGTAGCCGGCGAAAGAGCATGATCCCGAGGACGATGGCCCCCTTTCATCTTGCCGAGAAAACCTCCAACTCTCGTTGAACCGACCGAGCGACTTGACGATGTCGAGCGGCACCCTCTGCTGCACAATGCAGCCCCCCCAAACGACGCGTCGACGACCAGGGCGTCTTCGGACCAAGCCGCCCCGAAATCCCGAGAAGCGAGAAGTATATGCCCTTCAGCCCGGCCAAGTTCGCATCGAACAGAGCCCCGCAACTGGCGGCGATGGGGCCCAGCGGCAACTGCGAAGGAATAACTCGCAGAGAACGCACTCAACAATTCACGGCGCAGAAGAGCTCGAATAATCTAATGAGACATAACAATGGTTATCGTGTCACCACAAGCGCACCCCTCGGCAAAAAATTGCTGGATTGCTAAACGGATCTCCCAAGCAATACCGGGGGCGCAGCCCGACCGAAGCGCTCTCCTCAGCACAGGTCCACCCTAGCGTAGCGGCGCCTGGGCATGACTCCACGGGGTGGGTAGGAAGGTCAACTTTACCCAACTCCTGCTGCACTCCCTCTGCCACGGCTCTGACGACCTCTTGGTCCTTCCCGAAGGCGAAGAAGTTATCAACATACTCGGCGCGAGCGACAGGCGCCAGGCTGGGAGGGGGAAGATGATCAACGACAGCGTTCTTTTCGGCGACGCCGGGAACGAGGCGGGCCCGATGTTCCAGCGCCTGCTGGCAGGCCCACAGAGAAAGCTTCCAGCCCATCGGGATCACCTTCAGGACTGGATGAAGGCATTGGCCCCGTCTGACGGCTCGCCCATGGGCGGGCGAGACGTTCGCCAGGTCGGCTCGGACTCGAGGAAGGGCGAACACCTCTCGGAGGGCTTCTGGCAACTGCGTGTTATCGAAAGCGTTTACGATATCGACCGGGCCGACCTGGGCGGGCGCGGCGCCGTCAACCTCGATGGTGGAAAATGCGGCCCCCGAGGCCAGCGGCGCAGGGTCACTGTCGCCAAAGTGACGCGATGGAAGTCGTCCATCAACTATCAAACGAAGGTTACCTGAGTTCTTATGCGCAAAGAATAGGCCGCGCGAGACCTCACCCGTCAAGTGCCACTCGATCAGGTCAGCGTCTGCCATCCGTCGCAGCAACTTCGCGCGCGGGGCCCGCGACCGTTTGAGGGCGGGGTCGGAGCAAGGTCGAGCGGGCCCACGAAATCCAGCGACCTCCCTGCCAGTGGATTCAGGCAAGCGCAAATGAATTAACCGCTCAGCAATCTCTTCGCCCCGATCTCCTGCCACGTGCTCGAGTGATCGCGAAGTCGATCCAGCAGCCGGCAAGTCGATCAGGTGGACGGTGTCCATGCTGAGGGGAGCGATCACGGCGCCCTCGCCGTAAGCACTCCTCGCCCGGAGCGCTCGAAGGGCTCCCGGGCCGCTCATGTCGTCCGGCGGCGGGCCCATGGCCAAGACGGACTGGCGTATCAAGTTGAGACTGGACTGCTGGGTTGCCGAAGGGCCTCTGTTCGACCGCGGACTACGCGAGCCGAGATACATGTCATTCAGCGCGCCGGCGATCTCATCGCACACTAAATCGACGTGATTGGTGCGCTGAAGCCGGCGACGAGTAGACCTGCCAAGATGTGTAGCAGCTCCACAGAAGCCTCGGTCCCAAACTGGTGGGGGACGAGGAAGAGGCAGCAGGTTTCGCTGCCGCTCGTCAGCCCAAGAAAAGTGGCTGTGAACGCGCTGGTGCCGGGGCTGGCTGGGAGGTCTCTCCAGCCCCGGCGGGGCGCGCATCACCCCTGATCCTGGTTGTCCTTCTTGACAGGCTTGACCAGCTTCGCCCTTTAGCTCGCGGGCCCTGCGGACATGTGCTCGAGGATGGCGACGTTGCGCTCGATCACCGAGGCCACATGGGCGAGCAACTCGGGGCTGACCATGGCCATGATAGATCCCTTCGCCATGTCCGAGACGATGGCCGACTCGTCGGATACCGCGAGCTGGAGGGACACCGAGCCGCCGGCCTTGCCCTTGCCCTTAACCCCCGGTCCGCGCATGGCCAAGCAGTCCATGTGGTGCACGTGCTCCACCAGCAGCGCCCTGCGGAGGGGCAGCTCGAGGGAACCACTGTTGCCGACGTCGGTCATGTCATAGCTGACGCCCTCGTCCAAGCATCTCTTCGTCGTGTGGTGGGCGTCGACGCACCAGGTCGTCGGCCCGCAAACCGAACGTCATGATCAGAGACTGGTCGTGCTCGAGCGGGCCCCCGTGACACCTGAAGAGCCACTCGCCGCACCACTTCACCGTCCTGAGCGCCGGCACATGCAAATCGGGGAAAAGCGACTGGCGGAGCTCCACGGCCGAGGGGGCGAAACGTCCACGATCTTGGTCCTTGTTGGCGACGAGAATCGCCCTGCTGAGCCTGAGGTCGTGGCGGCCCTCCATCGTTTCATACTCCTCGACCGGCGGCGCCTGGAGATCCCAGATCAAGGCCGAGACGCCAAGGGGAGTGGTAGAGATGCCGACGCTCCCCCGCACGATGTCCGCCGCCGCCAAGCCGACTGGTGTGCCCTGGGGGGCGAAGGTGGTCGACTCCACGGTCATCCCCTGCGCCCTCGCCGAGGTCCTGTCCAGCAGCGCGAAGTATACGTCGGAGTCTGGGGTCGCCCAATCGACGTGGTAATCATTGAATGGTGTCGCTCCCGCTGGCTGCGAGTGGCCTAAGACTTGTCGCTGCTGCCCTACGTGGTCCCCGAAGAGCAGGATCCACCCCCAGAGCTGTACGACCCCTGACGCCATGGCGGCGCTCGGTCGCGCCGCACGCCACGCCGAAGAAACCGTTCGCGATGAGGCCACTGCAGGTCGTGACGAATACGGCGGCGTCGACCACGTAGTCACAAAGCCACTTGAACGCCGGGTCAACTGGTTCGGCAGGCGACTCGGTCGAGGGGCAGGGCGTAGCTCAGGGCAGATCGTCGCGGTCGGTCCTGGCGATCCGGGGCACGCTGGGCAGCTCGGCGCAGGGGGGCACGTGAGCTAGCAGGAGTATGGCGGGCACTCTGGACTCGACGGAGCTTCGGGCAAAGGCTGAGGTGTGAGACGGCGCCCGCTCCCAACCACTCGGTCACACGGTTCGACACTGAACCGTGCGTTCGCTTGAGCCAACAAGGTCACGGAGAGAGACGAGACCCCGTAACCCCAAGGTGGCCATTCCCCGAATACTTCAAACTAACAACATCGTGATAAACACTTGGCATGTTCTATTGCCTCCCTGCGTTACTGTGAGCAACGATTGGTGGCCAATACCATTCGAATCCAGGTTGGTCTTCGAACATAGCAAGGTTCCGTGGCCTCGGGTGCTACCGAACGCTGATATGGTCTAGAGTTCTAATGGTTGGCCGCGCCGAGGCCATCCAACACTACTACGTTGGTTAACACTCTGACTTGCTGTATGCGCGTGGCTGCCCGTTTAGCCTCCTCTTGCTCGTTCGTCCCCCCCTCTCTCTCTCTCTTTCCATCTCTCTGTTTCTCTCGTTCCCTCCCTCTCTCTCTCTCGATATCCCTCCCCCTGCCTCCCGCGCATGTGTATAAAGGAAGGGGAGTGAAAAGGGGGGGGACCTTTGCCGTTCTCTCTCTCTCTCTCTCCCTCTCGGTCAACCAGATGATTATCCCCATCTCGCTCTTTCCCTCGTTCCCTCCCCCTTCGGTCTCTGCATATGTGGTGGCGTGTCCCTATTCTTCCACATGCTGAACATAATACTTCACTGTCTGTCAAACGCACGCAGATGAGAAGAGGCGGGCTCGTGGTATAATGTGTGAACTTTGGCGCCTGCGGCGGGCTTCCCCAGAGTCTCGCAAACTGCCGACGTCCCCACCGCCCCCTCACTCTTATCCGCATATGCGGGGTGCTACGTATACAGCACATATAACATGTCCGCCTCTTCCTCCATCTTCTCCTCCGCATCCTTCTGCCCCCTCTCCTCATCAAACAAGTTCTCATGACGTCCCAGATGCTAAGAGATCTATGGGCTCTGGGAGTGGATACGTGGTTCCTCGACTCCAACCTACCAGACATCGAAGCCGCCCGCAGCGAGGGCCAGAATTATGCCGAGAACGTGCACTTAGCAGGTCGGGGCCACCAGTTGGGTCCACCTCACCTCCATATCTCCCGTGGGTTCGTGAACAAGCTCTGAGTGCGTACGAACAGTCTGGGGGCCAAGACCTGCGAATAACTGGTGCTATGGTACGAGGAATAGCTTTGCAAAGCGACACTGGAGGAGGCTTGGGATCAAGTACGGCGGTTCCGCATCATCAAGTGTTACGATCAGGGCAAGAAGAAAGTTCACCTCTGCATCAAGAACGTGGACAAGACGGAGCAGGTAACGATCCAGGCAGCCGACTCCGCCGCGCGCTCGCTGCCTTCGGGCACGCGTTTGCGCCAGCTGTTCATCAGAGCTCTGGCCGAGGTGGGCGGGCGTCGCGCGGTCGGGGCCGCACCTCCAGGGGCCATGGAAGAAATGCTTCAACATAGTCTGCCTGAGCGAGACGCACTCTGGCATCAGTTTTGCACGCTTCGACCTATGCTACTGACGAAGGTTGTTTCGTCACGACGGCCGACGGCGTAATTACACATACACTTTACTTGCATATGGTGGTGGACGTGGGACGGTCTTGCTGGGACTGTGATGGTATGTACTCCCCCACGCCCCTTGTGCGACGTCGACCGCGCCCTGCTCATGTACGACATCGTGCTGACCGCCACCCACCTGATGTTTGACTTCGTGTGCCTGGGCCACTTCCAAGCTTGAGGTTGCTACTGCCGCCTTGCCTCTCCCTGTGTGAAAATACAGTCAGCTGGTACATCCGTGTAGCGCGTCGCACCCCGACTCGTCGGTGCGATGGTTCCCCAGGGCCTGTTTTATCCCTGTTGGGGCCTGTCTAGGCCCTCTTGCTTTTTCCTGGTTTACCCCAGCTTCGGCCGGCTGCCGTGTAAAATCGCAGAAGTTGTTCCCTGTTCCGTTGCATGCGCACTTACAGTGTGCGTACGTTCTGTTTGCTTGTCGAGGGCATGTGCATGCCTGCCCCGCCACGGACTTGAGGGAAACGAGAGACACGGCGTGCCTCTATGCCGCGTTCTTATTACTTCTGCCCTCTCTCCGTGGCATAAAACCTCCTGCTCCTGCTCCTGCTGATCCTCCTTCCCCCCTCCTCGTCTTCCTCCTCCTCGCCCTCTTCTTCCTCCTCCCTCCACCCTCCACCCTCCGCCCTCCGCCCCCCTTTTTTGCCTCCTCCTTCTCCTCCTCCTCTTCCTCCTCCTACTCCTCCTCCTCCTCCACCTCCTCCCCTGCAACCCATGCCCCGGGCACGCCTCCAAAGGCGGAAGCGCCGCTCGGGGTCATGTGGCTGTTGTCCCAGGCGGCGTCGCCAAATCGAGCGTCCTCCACGGCGCTCGCGGGATAAAAGCGGAGGGGGAGGACGGGGGGGGGGGGGAAGGGTGGGGGAGGAAGGGAGGGGCGGAAGAGGAGAACGAGGGGGAAAGCGGAACAGGAGATGGAGGGTGGAGGGAGGAAGAAGGGAATGAGGATAGATAAGCAAGACAAGTGGGAGGGGTGACTGGGGGGAGAACGACGGAATGGATGGGGTGATGGGAGCGGGGGGGGAGGGAATTAGATAAACAAATAACGGCGGCTGCTCGCGCACGGCCAGAACAACAATGAACTTGTCATCTCTTTCTGGCCTGGGCCTTGCGCGTCGCTTCGTTGGGCGACGCCAGAAGGCGCTCGGGCGCCGCAAGCCGGTCTTCGGCCATTGCCGGCGCGGCGCGGTGTCTGGGGACATTCCCTGCTTTCGTGTTTCCCTGTTTCTGTCCCCCAGCCCGTTTCCCCCTTCCTTCTCTCCTTCCTCCCTTGCCCCCTCCTCCCTTCTTCGCCCCACCCCAGTGCGCGCTGGAGAATTTCACGCGCATGCCGCGCGTGCGCCGCGATGCCCCGCTTGTATGTGGAAACGTTTGAAGATGTCCGTCCCCTTCGCCGCGCAGTGGTATCACGCCCGCGGTTGGTCTGACAACGCGGGCAGCCGTTGAATTTGATCGTCCGCCGCGGCAAAGGCAGCGCTTTGCTTGCCGCTCGAAGTCGCCACGCAAGCATCAAACTTTTGCACGTCCGCGCCCAAGGGGGGCGGGGGCAGAGTGCTGCACGGCATTGCCCCCAGAGGCTGCGGCTGCCTCCATGCGACGCGCGGCAGGCAGACGCCGGGCTCTCGTAAGACGACACGGTAATCCCGCCCCACCGCAACGGATTGGCGTAACGTGTATGTCCCTGCGAAGCCCCCCAAACAAAATTTTGTCCGAGCAATCGTAACACGAAAGGGCATCACGATGCCCCGCGCACATATTCAAGTTGCAGCAAAGCGAGCCTCAACAATTTTCCTAGGACGATCGCCGTCCTGCACCGCGCACCAGATCGCACCCCTTGCCAGAACGGGACTATCGCCTGTGCCAGCCGTACTGCGCAGTGGTTAGCTCGATCAAAGGATCCAAGACGTTCCCCGCTGTGTTTCCAGATGCTTCGCAGGGTGTTGGCCATGCGGGGGCGCCACAGATCTGCAAAGGATTGGCCACGCACGGACCTCCAATCCATGGAGCACCGATTGGCCCGATGCCTGAGAGAGCGAATCTTCCAGAGGCAGCCGACCGCGGCGGGCGCAGAGCAACGTGTGATCTCCCCGTCACTTTCTCGCACCGCCTGCGAGCACTGGTCTGCTGGCGCTGCTTGCGTACGAGGCAGGCATTCCAGACCCCGCGCAGCGCGGCCGGCGGCGCGGGGGGGGGAGGGCGACGGGCTTGGCGCGAATCGAACCGACGGCGCTGGATTTTGCCCTTAATGCCGCGCTCTGGCGCTCCGCCAGGCCCTCTCGGATCTCGCGAAAGCGCGGGGGGTTGCATGCGCTCAACAGAAGGGAGGGGGGTTGTTCGGGCTCGGTTTGTGTTAGTGTGTTGTGTGTTGTGTGCGTGTGGTGTGTGATGTGCGTGTGGCATGTGTGAGTTATGTGTGGGTCATGTGTGTTCTGCTCGCTCTGCGTGTGATGTCTGCTGTGTATGCGTGTGCGTTGTGTATGGGTGATGATTGTTTTGTGTATGTGTGATGTGTGTGTGTGTGATGTGTGTAATGTGTGTATTATGTGTGTGTGCGTGTGTGCGTGTACGCTCTTTGTGTGTTCTGCGCTTTGTGGGTGTTGCGTGTGTGTGTGTGCGTTGGGGGGAGGGCTAGGTGTGTGATAAGTGCCTGTGTTGCGTGGTGTGTGTGCGTGTGAGGGGGGGGGGAGGGGTTGCGTACGCGTTATGTGCGCATTATGTGGGTATGTGTGTGCGCGTTACGCGTCGGGGCTCGGTTTTGGAAGGATGTCTCAGGCGAGACTGCATGTTCTTGTTTTGTAGTTTACAATTTCATTGTCACCAAGAACCTTTGAAACAAAGCTCGATGTTAGAAGGATGTATCCAGAGAAGCTGCATATCATGGCACAGCATCCCAGAGCAGATCATAACATGGCAGTAGAGCACAGCTACACCTACTAGCAGAACATATTATGATATACTACACAAAGCAGAGCCACCAACAAACATAACATCACATAACATACCAGAGCAGAACGTGACAGGGCATACGACGGCATACCACAGCATACCATAACATAACCGATCATACCATAACACGCGTGAAACAGCGTATCATACCATGACACAACATCACAGCGCATATTTTAGCACGCCAGCAGAGCAAAGCGACGACAAACACGACAAGACAACACATGACACAACATAGCATGACATAACAGGAAGCGGGCATGACATAACATGACATCCTATGGCATCGCAATGGCATGACAACTCAGACCATACCACGACATCACATAACACACAGCAGCATAACATGATAGACCAGAAAGCAACACACCACGACATAATATAACCGAGCATGACACAACTCACCTTGACATAACATATCCTAACATGGCACAACATCACATAACATACCGTAACACGATAGCAGGGCATAGCGACACATACTAGCATCACAAATCATACTATCATCTACAGAGCCGAGCCGTCAACAACCATACCATCACATACCACACCAGAGCAGACTATGCCATAACAGAAGACGACATAACACACCACACCATACCATAACCGAGCATAGCATAACACACCTTGACAACCTGGAATCACACTTCGTGCTCCTTTGTTTGTCGAGCTCGTGCTCTGGCCTAGCGGGTCTTCCTTCGGCCATTGAGGTGCGGCGCCGCGCAGTCTGAGATGTTTCACCATTGCCACGTTGTCCTGTTTCCCTCGTTTCGCCCGCGGGCAGAATCCTCATGCACTCTGGTCCAAAGACCGAACCATTGCGATCTGTTCTGGCATCTGGGACACGCTCCTCTGACCTTGCAAATCGTTCTTCGGACCATGCCGACACGGTGTCCAAAATTTCTGTGTCTGCGATTCCCTGTTTCCCACGGAAGGTATCCCGATTCAAAATCCTGCCCAAGAGAAGCATTATTGCGTTTCGTTCGGGCGGGAGGAAGATGCATGAACAGGAGAGGGGGGTGAACAGGAGGAGTTCGAAATGCGGAAGGGGAGGAGGGCGGAAAGACAATGAAAGTATATTGCAATGAGGGGCAGCAATTGAAGCGGGAGGCAACAATATGTGAGACAGACGGAAAGGGAGGCGGATTATGCATTGGGACCGAGATGAGGAGGGGAGCTGATGACAAGGATGGCGAGCACTTGCACGACGAGCACAGGGTATGTGATGATATTCCAAGCGGGCAAGAAGTGCCGCATAATGTGAGCGGAAATCATAACAACCTGTCGGAGAAACACGCGCTTAGGTCACCTGGAGCCAGGAAAAGGGGGTCATATGTGAAGAGCAACGATGAGGAAGGATGGCGGAGGGTAGAGGAGGGAGCATTGAGGAGACGCAGGAGGGCTTCGTTTCCTCGAAGTCGTGGGACTCCATCAGGGACTCGATCATCTCGGTGACGACGTTGTCGTCAAGTTCGGGGGAAGTCGCCCCAACCTCGGACAGGCAACGCAGTCGCCCGCTCCCTCCCCCACAGTCCGCATCCCACATTTCACCAATCCTCCACGACCCCTCCCTACCTCGCGTCCTCCCTCCGTCCCTTCCCCTTCTCCTGCCCCTCAATCGCTTGCCCTCTCTCCCGGCCCCCGACCCCCCCCCCACGTCCCCCAGCCCCCCACCACGCAGCAAGCTGCACGAGGAGACGCAGAATGCAGCAGTGGCAGCCAAAGAGGTCCTCAGGCATGTGAAAACGATGCTGGCAAATCTGCGGAAAGGATGCCGCGGAGCGCCCATACGCATGTCCCATTCCTGCCCCTCAGCCGCTTGCTCCCCCCCTCCGTCCCCCAGCCCCCGCCCCCCCAACACACCACCCCCTGGCCCCCGGCCCCTACCCTCCAAAGCGCCCCCCATTTCCACCACGGGGCCGACTCTCCGACCTCCTCCCCTCCCGTCCCTCCCTCGTCGCCCACGTGGGAGGAGCGAGACTGGGGAGGAGCGGGCGGGGGATGAGGATCAAAGAGGAAGAGAAGAAGGGAAACTGAGGAGGCGGACGAGGAGGAGCAGAAGGAGGTGGACGGACGAGGGAAGACGGGGGAGGTCACAGGAGGAGGACGCAGAGGAGGCAGCGAAGGAGCCAGATGACACTGACGAGGAGGTGGGGGAGAAGGCGACCGCCGCCTCCCCCGTCCCCTCCTTACAATATCTGGCACATGCTTGACATACCCATCAAGTCCTCCAACATTCTCCCACATGACAACACACAAACACAATTCTCCTTCTCCTCCTCCTCCTCCTCCGGCTCGCGTTCTGCTACTCCTTCTTCCACCCCCACTACTCGCTCCGAAGCTCTTCCTTCGTTCCTCACCCGCCTCCCGCCCTCCCTTCATTATCCCAGTGCGACCCTACCTAGGAGTTGGAGCCTCTAGGAAAGCAACATTAGTAGGAGCGGTAAACGCCGTCCTCCTCCTTCTCCTCATCGTCGTAGTTGTGCTGCGCTATGCTATGCTATGCTATGCTATGCTATGCTATGCTATGCTATGCTATGCTTTTGCTTTGCCTTCGCTTTTGCCTTCACTGTTGCCTTTGCTTTTGCTTTTGCTTGGCACCCAGGGAGCGCAACTGGAACCGCGCGTTTGCTTTTCCCTTTGATGTTGCTTTTGCCTGGCTCCCAGGGGACCGGGGGAACCGCCCGGGGCGAGCCCCACTGCCCGGCCCCTTTAAGCTAACAGAGTCAGAACCCTTCTAGGCAGAGCCTAGGTAGGGAATAAAACGAAGCCAGGACGAGGACAGATTCGGGTGAGGATAACTTGAGAGTCTCTGAGATCCGTCGGCTCTGGAAAGAGTATGAGGCGTAGCGGCCTGCTCGGAGCGTTCTGGAACACTCTGGAACGGATTTATCCTCAGGAAGCCTCGTCCGGCTCACCACTTCCCCTCCCTCCCTCACTACACCGCACTCCTCACCCCTCCTCCTCAGTGGGCTGAGCGGGAGGCCCGAGTGTCCGAGTCCTGGCTCTTCACCGCCGCCTTCTTCTGCCAGGGCCGCCAACTACCGCTACCCCTTCGCGCGCGCACGCGGGGGCCTTCCTTCTGGGCTGAAGGAGGGAGGAGGAGACAGAGGGCAGGCACGCAAAAGGACAGAGGAGGGGGGATTTTTGGGACTGCGACGCTGATGAAGTAGAAAGCCTGTGAACAGCTGGCGGCGCTGTAGCGAACAGCGAAAGATAATCGGCTACGGGCACCAAGTCAGCCAGGAAGGCACACGTGCGTATGTAGGCGTGAGCACGCCGTAGGGGCAGGTATGGCATAGGCTGGGACAATGAAACATCAGAAAAAATAGCAGCCTTTCCACCAGCAAGAGTCTGTATCTGCTAGAGGTTCCCGGACTGAAGAGAGGCTCCGCACGCCTCACCGTCTGCAGGCAAGGGGGAAGTGGGAGTCCACAATTCGTTCAGAATGCGTGGCATCGACAGCAATGGGCTGAAACCGCGGTGGAGGTGAAGGAACGGAAGGACGTCTTGGGCGCACCAGCGCACCCACCTGCCCAAATGCAGCACACACATTTCTTCGCCCACTGTACTGGAAATTCGCTCACGAACGGCCGAAACCGAATCGACGGGCACACGCTTCAAACGAAAACATTTCCAAGGCAGACTCATTCCCAACTCCGCACCGTATTTGCGACAGGGCGCCGGCTGGAGGGCAACTCTACAACGCGCTCACGGCACATTGCTACTGGCGGCTCACGATTCGAGACGCCACCACGAGGTAATTGTAATAACTGTCGTCGCCGTGATCGCCGGAAGATGCAAGACCAGTGGCTTCGACCGCTGCCTGGGACTTCGCATCCACAAGGATGTTGGGCGTGGCGTGGCAGTCGCGGCCAGAGTCGGCAGCGACACGGGGGGGGGCCACGATCAGCATCGGCAGCTCCAGGGACTCCTGGTCGCCGGACACGAACACCCAGATCGGCCCAATCCTCCAGCTTTGTAGCAGACGCGAGCGCGTCGAATGCGGTCACGGTGGCAACATCCGGGGACGCAGCGCCTGGGGAAGCCGGTGCCCCCTTTGTAAGACGAAGCCAAGACGAGGATAACATCGGGTGAGGATAAATCGAGAATCTCTGAGATCCGGCGGCTTCTGAGGATGTTATCGGGCGTCGCGGCCTTCTCAGAGTGTTCCGGAACTCTCTGAGAGCGTTCCGGAACGCTCTGGAACGGATTTATCCTCGTCGTAGCCCCGCCCGGCTCTGGAGGGCGCAAGTTTCGTCGCGAAAAAGGAAGACAGGTGTTACGTGGGACGATGGAGGCATTGACATCCGTCATCGAGTCCGCGTACGCCGAGCGGGCGACGGCGCCGGCTGCCAGGCTGTTGGTGCGGGCGTGGGCCAGGTCGTCAGAATCCGCCGTGCTCAGGGTAAACTGCAGGGAGTTGGTGCCGCTCTTGGCGTTGCTGACACTGTACTACTCGTCGCTAAGAGGTGAGCGACGATCAAAAACCGGTCTTATGAGAGATGGCCCAGCGACCTTACGCGGCGGCATACGCCGGCCACCAATGCGGCACGCCACATTGGAAACGCGGGCGCTTACGCTCGACCTTACGCGGGCAGCTTACGTACGCACCAATGTCGGCGCAGACGACCCCGTTTTTTTGCGTCGCTCAGGCCGACTTGCAGAGGGGCTGGCATGTGGGCAAGCACGATCTCCGGCAGCGCCAGCAGCAGCAGGTACCAGAGCTCCAGCACTTGAAACAGATGGCGTCGGCCTCGGTGAGGACGTTGGCGGGGGAGCGCGCGTCGACGTAGTTACATAGCGACGTGGCCGGGTGTGGCGGCGGAGCATGGGCTGGAGGCGGCACTACCCGCCTGGAACCGCACCATGAGCAAGCCCATCGGCGCTGGCCTGACCCATAGTACCGCAACCTGGCACGCAAGGATGGGCATCCGAAAGTAGAAGAAATTCAGAATGCCACGGCGGGCTGGGCCGCAGGCCCGAGCAAGTGCAGCCACATCGCCCATCCGATGTCGGCAACCGACCCTGGCCGCACGCCTAGCCGAGCCTCCGCGCGGACGCTCCAACATCTGGCCTCGGGCGGCTGCTGCGACGGCGCCAGCCGGAAAGTGCTCGTCGCACGCGGCCGTCGTCTCTGGCCGAATCCCACCCGGCGGGGGCAGCGCGACAGGGCCCCTGCACGAGTGCGGGCCGGTGCCAAGAAGAACTGATGGGCCGCTCACGCACGGATCCCAGAGGAAAAGAGGCCCAGACGCCTGGCCGCTCAATTTTTTTCGATGCGCGGGCCCTGGAAGTCTGGACCACTTCCCCAGGGTCGGTTTTCGTCCTGAGTCGTTTTGTGACGGTCCCGAGGCCTGGCGAGGGCCCCAGGAGGCCGAAAACGGTCAAGAACCCGCCGCTCCCATTTTTGGGGAGCGTCGGATCTCTGGAGAGGGAGGGCGGAGAAGGAGAAAGAGAAAGAGAAGGAGTGGTGAGTCGCCGGGGAGGGGCGAGTGGAAGGGCCGAGGGGGGGGCAAGACGGAGGGCCCACCGGTGGCGCACCGGCAGTCGGCGAGGGTGCTCCTCGCTCCTCCTCGCTCCTCCTCGCTCCTTGCCGCCCTCGCCACCCCGAGGGACCGTCGGGCCACCGCGGCGGGGGCCGCGGGCGGCACCACGAAGAGGCGCCCCGAGGGAGGGGGGGAGCGCCTCCATTCCGAGGGGCCTTCGGGCCAGCGCAGCAGGGACTCGGGGAGGATCGGAGAGGATCGGGGAGGAGGAAGAGGAGGAGCAGGAGAAGGAGGAGAGGGGGGGGGGGCAACGTCTGACAGGCCTTCCTGACTTCAGGACTTCAGGAGGAGGAGGAGGAGGAGGAGGAGGAGGAGGAGGAGGAGGAGGAGAAGGAGGAGCAGGAGGAACATCGGGGAAGATCGGGTCGGATCGGCCATCCACGAAAACAAGGTGCCTGACCCTGAAAGCTGGGGGTGCAAGGCTGCATGTAGCCCCACAGCCCAGGGCGCCCGCACTGAGGGTTCATCTTGCCCGCCGAAGCTGAACCAGGGGGTAGAGAAGAAACAGAGGAGTGGAAAAGGGGACAGAGAACCACGGACCCAGAGACGAGAGAAGCGCGGGCACCTCCCGAGGGCACGGTGCCACCCACGCCCCGCGCAGGAAGACTGGCCAGCGGGCCAGCAGCAGGCGCGGAAGCCTCCCGAGGGTACGGTGCTGCCACGCCCTCCACAGAGAGATCTGGAGCAGGTGCCGGCACCTCCCGCGGGCACAGCGCCACCGCACCCTGCACGTGTGGAGGAGCGGAGTGGACGACCGAGGCGGCCTACCACCCCCCGCAAGCAGAGCAGACTATGAGCCAGCCCCAGGCAGACCATGACGACAAGGAAGGGAAGAGGAGTGCAAGACACGTATGAGGTACCAGAGGCCATCAACAAAACAAGCCAAAGACGATTGCAAGACATACGTGAGGCTCAAGAGGCCATCAACAGAACGAACGGTAGACGTTCGCCCTCGGCGCAGATATGGCGCTGGAAAACGCACCGGCCTGCGACCCCAGCGGAGGGGTGACCCGCGACGGGATTGGGATCCCCAAGGGAGGGGAGGGGCCCAGTCCCACCGCGACCGATCCTCCTCCCATGAGGGAGGCTGCCCCCGAGCCCTGGAGAAGGGGCCCCACCTCCGCCAGTCCTTATATTCATACCCCACCCATCTGGCGGCACCGACCACCCCGTCAGCCTCCAACCGACAGGGGGTGCCCCTGCTATCCCCGAGTCCTTGATGGGGCCCAGCTATCCAAGCAGAGGGGGCATCGGGGAAGAAAGAGGAAGGAGGAGGAGTGAGGATCAAGGATAGGACGAGGATTTGCACATGACTTGCATGCTGGCGGGGCAGCGGCAGATGATAGCGCGCGGATTGGAAGCTGGAACTCGCCTGGCGTAGCCCAGAGGAGGATGAGGACGAAGCAGAGAACCTCGTGTGCTCTCTCCAGGCTCAGGAAGACGCAACAACCCAGGGGGTAGCGAAACAGCAGCAGGAGGAGGCGCAAGGAGGGGGAGGAGAATGTTCACATCACGCCGAGATGCCGGTTGGTGGAGCCTCATTGGAATGCTTGTCGTTGAGACATCACCAGCGCCCAGCTAGTCAGGAATGGGCACGCGGGCGACGTCTCCAACAGAGCAATGCCACCTCCCTTGGATCGTATCTTGGCGGCAGGCGAATCGCGACTCCTGCAATCAGCTCGCACTTGTCTTATTTCCCCGTCCGCTCATCTGCGCCTGAGCATCCAACGTTCCGCCTCCTCGTTTGAAGTGTCTGTCTCGTCTGCTGCCAATGCCGACCTTCAAAGTCACAAGATCGATCGACGTCAAACGCATCAGCAGACGATCTAGCGAGCCAATCATTAGAATGAGTAGCCGTCACACTTACCGCACTTGGTAAGTGATATTGCACTGCTCCGGTTGACTAGCCGACCTACACAATTCAAGGCCTTCTCAGAGGGCCAGGGCTACTGGCGACGAGGGCGTAGGGGCTGGCGTCAGCACGTGAGCAAGAGGAGATGGAGCATGAGGCTGGCAGCCTACCACAACGTCCCTCTTGGCTGCAAGCCCTTCCATCAAGGAATCACTATCTTCAGCTTACCGCCACGACCTGCATACCCCAGAGCACTCCACACCAACACTCAGTTGACTGCCGCGACCACGCTAACACATGTCATCGCATGTTCAGATTCGCAGTTCTATTCACCTACAGTTTGCCGTACTGTTCTCGTCACACCCAGTTTCACAGTGGCTCCATGTTGCCTCCATCTCACTGTGCCCGACTGCTGGTTGTACGACGTACATAAAGCTAAGTGCACTCATCAGTAGGCCCAGTCTAGCGGAGTCATCTGCTACAGGCGGATTCTCACGCGACGTCTTAATTGTCCGACCTGTCTGGGATGGGGGGGGTTCGAGGTGGTGTAAGTGAGTGTGTCTTTTGGGGGGGGGAAGGGGGAGGCTTCTCTCCAGTTGCTTAAAACTCCTCCAGCAGCTGCAACACAGCTGCATCTGCTACTTCAATCCCCGTGGGCCCTCACACTTTACCAATCGTTCATGCCCTTATTTATCCGCAGGTCTTCCTTACTGCTCTTACTTACTGTGCTGCGGTGCGCCAACAACTGATTCGAATCGCTCTCCAAAAGCAGCAGGCCCCGTCGCCGAATCTCTGTTTGTGCATCGGCGAAAAAAGTAGGCGGGGTATGGGCGTTCTAGGGTATTCTGGAACGCGTTATGGGTTATGGGACGGTCCAGGCGAAGGAGTGGCAGCAGGATGGCGGGAGAGGCGATCCATAGTATTCAGGGAGTGCGGTGGTGGAGGGGGAGGGGAGGGGAGGCGGATCCACTGGGGTCCGGAGAGGAGGAATAGAGGAATAGAGGAGGAGGAGGAGGAGGAGGAGGAGGAGGAGGAGGAGGAGGGACGGGTGGGGGAGGGCAGGGGCAGGAAAAGGGACGATGAAGAGAATGAGCACGAGGAGGGAAAGACGGGGAGGGAGGGAGGCAGGAGAAGTACGAGGGAACACGGTTGAGGTAGGATTGATGGAGGGAGAGCAGGGAAGGCCAGGGAAATGGATGAAGGAGGGATGGTCGAAGGTGGCGGTGGGCGGTGGAGGAGGCAGTAGATGGAGAGGTGGGAGTGGGAGAAGAAAGGGAGCAGGAGGCGGAGGAGGAGAAAGCGGGGTGGATAGGGGACAGGAAGGAGTTGGTGGAGGCGAAGTTTGCCAATGCCCTTCGTGGTCAACGACCCGAGCAAACTCATCCTCAACGCGCATGTGGGTGCGCCACTGTGGCCCTCTGCCGAGGCCGGGTAGAAAGACGATTCCCATGTGTCGTGCTCGCTAGTTACTGATCAAGGCATGGTTACAGATCTTGTTCCTCCCCAAGCGAAGGGAGGCTTTCAAATCGGCATGGAACTAGCCCGTCAGGTCGATGCGGACTGCAATTTCACCACGGACTGAAATCACAGTGCACAATGTTGCCATCGTCACTCTACTTTTGCAGAGTGTGTGGGCTCCCGCGATGCCCTGATCGTGGACAGATGACATCTATGTCATCCTTCCCCCCAAGGCCGCCGAGCGAGCCCTGTCCTATTTAGAAACGGTCTCGGTTTAGCAAGCTGGTTGCCAACCGTGACACAGCTGAACACGACATACACTTGAGCAGTATACCTTGAGGGGTCAATCAGTACATGGCGCGATCATCGAAGATATCGCATGCACCACGCGACATACAGACAGCTAGAAACATTGAGAGACACCAGATAGGGATTGACATACAGACACTCTATTGCCAGCCGAGCGGAGGCATCCAGACGAGCCTGAGAAACAGCAATGCCCGAGGTGTTTGGCCGCATTCCGTTTCTCTGCGCCGCCGGAGACACTTTCTCGCCACCACTGGCCATGCCCATGCCTGGAGGCCCAATGAAGCATGGCCTTGCAGCTTCTCCCGCATGCGTAGGGAGAGCACGATGGGCGGCCTTGGTTCTGGAATCGACGTTTGGCTCGCACATCGACCAGTGGCCCGATCGCCACCACCATCACCATCACCATCACCATCACCATCACCATCACCATCACCATCACCATCACCATCACCATCACCATCCTCCTCCTCATCATCATTACCATCATCAGCATCAACATCCGGATCATCAACTTCATCACCACCATGCTCCCCATCATCATCATCATCATCATCATCATCATCATCATCATCATCATCATCATCATCATCATCATCATCATCATCATCATCATCATCTTCATCATTATCGCCAGCATCAGCATCACCATCCTTATCGGCATCATCATCATCACCATCATCATCACCATCGTCATCATCAACATCACCATCATCGCCATCAGCAGCATCACCATCATCACAATCGTCACTACCACTATCACCCTCATCATACGAATCAGCATTAGCACCATCATATCCTCGTTGCTTAGGAGGTCTCTGCAGCCCCCGAATCGTGGATAAACCCGCGGAACATCGAATCGGCCCGAACCAAGCATGTCCGCTACACCAGAGGCTCGACTGCGAGGCGGGCGGGCATGTGCTTGGCCCAGGGCCAGCGACTTTCAAAAGACAGTTTGGGACGGAAGCCCGTACCAGCCAAGGGGTGGAGAGCTCCTGAGCCCGCGTATTCATGAAAAGCGTGCGAATCAGTGTCAAGGCATGGGGGGTGGCACGACTCTATGTCCTGATACTACGCTGTGGCTTGCAAATCGCCCAGGAGGGGGATCATCAAATTGATGGCGCTCGAGGGGGCGGTGATAATGGGCGCGCACAAGGGGGGGGCGGGGGGCACTGTGATGTTGATGGGCGCGGTCGTGTGCATACGACGTGTGCTGCCCACACTCATGGTGGCGCTGAGAGGCGCTGTGGTGCTGAGAGGCAGCGCTATTTTCACAAGAGGCGTGGCGGTCAAAGGTACGCTGGTGCCCGTCACAAGGGCTGCAATACTGCAGACGTGCTCTGAGGGCGTTCGTCAGCACGGCGCAGATGGGACAGGGAGGCGGGGCTGGTGCCGCGGGCCGTGGATGTCTGATGCGCCGCACGGAAGCTTCGATTCGTTCCTTTTTGCTGAGCTGAATGGGCTGCCCATCGCTGTGGCAAACTCGCGCACAGGACCCCGCACCAACCTCAGGACGCAGAGGGTCTGGGACGGAAGGAACGACGAACATGCCGCGTTGAGGATGCTCACTTATCCCCCACGGGGAGGACACTCATGAGCGCGCGCGACCTAACATTACCCCACACCCTCCTCGTCCTCTTGCCCCCCTTCCCTTCTCATCCTCCACTTCCTCCACCTCCTCCTCCTCATCATCATCATCATCATCCCGGTCATCTCGCCCCTCGTTCCCTCCTCTCCTCTACTTCACCCCCATCCCATCCTTCACCTTCTGCGTCCCCTCCCCTCCGCCCCTCGCCCGCATCATATCCATGTATCATTTCTCCTCCTCCTCCTCCTCCTCCCCCTCCTTATGCTCCCATGCTCCGACCGCCTTATCGAATGGGTGGAACACCCCCGCTGCCTTCATTTGCATTGGTGACCTCTGGTCCACCGGCCGCATGGACTGACTTCGCCAAGCCACTGAGTGTTTCCACATTTTCCCAGGGGCCTCTTGATGTTCTTCTTGTCGTCCACGCTGGTGCTGTCTACTTGCGGCGACGCCTCCCCTTCTTCGTTTGCCGCGCCCGCCTCCCCACGTCCGATAACTATCTCCACCTGCAGAGAGACGAGGAAAGAGAGAGGGAGCGAGAGAAATAGAGAGAAGCAACAAAGAGATACAGAGAGAAACATAAAGACATACGGCAGAAAGAGAAAGAGAGAGAGAGAGAGAGACAGAGAGAGGGGGGAATGACACAAATAATCTGGAATTGCTATGGCGTGCGGTCGCAAATTTTTGCTTAGCGCAACGCGGCGGCGGCCCCGGCGACACGCTATGCCCTTTTAGCCGGTAGCGCGTCGTTCCGCTCCGCGTAGCGGGAAGCTGGCATAAGCTCAAGACGCTGGCGCTCGGGGGCCGCGATGTGGAGAGCGCGTCGCGTCGCGGCGTGGTGGACCATAATAGGAAACGCGAAATCTGGAGATCCGACGTTGGGAAAAATGCGGCATCGCGAAAGTCACGACCAGAACCCTGGACCACAGATTGCTGCCGCACTGCCCGAAGCAAACCGATCTGTGATGGTGCTGGGGCCTGAAACTGCGCGAACACGACTGGCGCGATACATATACGCATATATACACATCAATAGCTACACACACATATATAGATGTGTGTATATATACAAGACTTGAAGCTCGCTGCGTTTCGCTTACTAAAAGTCTCGGCATGGTGCGCGAATGCGCGGCGTGCTAAACGCCCAGAATCGGTCGGCTCCAGATGTAAGCGATGGGCAGGCCCGGGCTTGGGAAGCCTGTCGGAAGCGCTGGGCGCAGGGGGTTGGGAAGGCGACGGAAGCATTGTGATGGGTGAGGCCTTGCCAAGGTTGGAGGTCAATGGCGGGGGAGACGCCGTCGAGAAGGTCGCTGAGATGAATTAAAATGTGGGTCGAAAAGGCGCGAGGTGTAGGGGCTCGGGAAGGTAGCGGGGGCCTGTACGAAGGGGGGTCGATGCAACGTCTTGGGAGCTTCGTGACGGATTTTCTGAAGCTAGCTAAGAATATTTGGCGGCCTTTTGGGGGTTCGTCGAGGCCTTGTGGGGCGCGTTGGGGCCCTCGCGGGTGCCTCTTGGGCAATCTCTGGGAGGGCGTAGAGGGCTCGGAAGTCTGAGGCGCAGAGGGTCCGGGAGGCGACGGGGGGGCCTCGCGGGAGCGTCTCGGGCGGAGCCGCGGGGGGGACAGACGGCTTGAAAACCTGTCGGGGCCGCGGGGTGCAGAGGGGCTGGCAAGCGGCGGGGGGGCTGCGACGAGGGGAGCCTCTCAGGGGCGGGCGGCAATAACGGGGGAGACGCCGCCGAGAAGGTCGCGGAGAACGAAGCAAAATTGCTAGGAACCCGGGGGAATCTTTGAGGGCCGGGGCGCCGGTCGGAGGAGCGAGGCGCAGGTGGTTGGGAAGGTGTCGCGGGGGCCTCGCGGGAGCGTCTTGGGCGGAGTCGCGGGGAGACAGCGGGCCCGAAAGCCTATCGCAAGCGCGGGGCGCAGGGGGGTTGGGGAGGCGTGGCGCGGGGCGCAGGGGGTCGGGAAGCTGGCGGGATCTCTAAGAAAGAGAAGCGAGGCGACGTTGCTAGGAGTCTCTGGGAGCCTTTCGAAGCTCCGCCGGAGCCCCGGCGCACGCTGGGAGCCTCGCGGGGGCCTCTCGGGCGGCCTCTGCGGTGGCATAGAGGGCTCGGAGACTGGGCGGAGAAGCGGGGCGCGGAGGGCTGGGAATGACGGGGGGCTGGGGGGGGGGTTTTCCGCTGACCAGACGCGAAACGACACCGCCCCACCCGCAGCCCCGCGGCGCTGGAATCCCACCAGCCCTCTGGGCGTCGGTGGTTTAGGGCGTTTCCTCTTCCACCCCTCCCTCTTCCCCTTCGGGGAGGGGTTTACCCCTCCCCCTACCCCCTCCCCGCTGACCTGGACAGGAGGGGCGGGGAGCGGTCAGAGCGTCCAAAACGGCCTCGGCGAGGAAGCCAAAATCATTAATTTTACTATGGTTTGGGCCCCATTCTGGCCTTCTGAGGGGGCAGCGCTAATTAGAGCTCCCCTCTTCTTTGATCGATTTCCTCCACGATCGCCGCAAGAGGCCCCCAGGATGCCCCAAGAGGCCGCAGGATGGCCCCAAGATGGCCCCAAGAGGCCCCCCAAGAGGCCCCCAGGAGGCCCCCAAGAGACCCCCAAGAGGCCCCAAGAGACCCCCCAGGGGCACCCAAGGTGCTCCCAGAGGCCTTTTTTACTATGGTTTGGGCCCCATTTTGGCCTTCTGAGGGGGCAAAGATGGCCCCAAGAAGCGCCCAGGAGGCCCCCAAAGGCCCCAAGATGGCCCCAACAGGCCCCAAGAGGCCCCCAGGAGGCCCCAAAGAGGATCCCGAACGGCCCACAGAGGCCCCCCCGAGGCACCCAAGACGCCGAAAAGCCCCTCAGGACGACCCTCTACTCGCCTGGGCGTCGTTTCTGGACGGGCTGGTGGGGATACGCGAAGCGTCTAGAATTTCAAACGCCTGCCCCGCGCAACCTCGGCTTGCAACCACGAAGACCCCTCGGTGGCGTCGGGGAACTACCGCGCCGCGCCGGCGCCGAACGCCGCCCAAACACCGTTCCCAGCAGCGCCGACGCGGGTTCCGCGCGCTGGCCACGCGAGGTTCCCAGCCGCAGAGCATACGCCGCCTGCCTCGCGCAGCGCCTGAGAGCGCTGTTCGGCGGCGCGCTGCCGCCGCTCGTCGCCTTGCCAAGCCCAGCGACGCGCGCATCGCGCAAACCGCTGGCGTTTCTCAAAACAGCGTCGCCGCACCTTGTCGAGCTGATTTGAGCCGCGCTTGCGGTGCTCGTCGCGCTGGCCAGCGCCGCGGCGCTAGTCCCCACCGCGTTCCCACGTGGTGGGAAGGGGGTGGCCTCGCACCGCGCGTCGCCGCGCTGATCCGCGTCGTGGCGATGGCACCCGCCGTGGCGATCAAACTCGCATTGCTGGCGTCCGTAATTCGGACCCCTGGCGATTGTCGAAATTAAATTGTTGCGTTCGGTCGCGCTGTTCGGCGTCGGGCTGTTCGCGCCCGTCGCGCTGCCTTGCGTCGGGGTCATGGCGCCAGATGGGCCGCCCACTTTTCCGCGGCCGCGCCGAGCGCCGCTCGCAGCAAATTTGCCCATGGGAGCTAGTCGCGGCGAGCTGATCAGCACCGCGTCGCCGGTGCCCGCCGCGGCGCTCACCGACGGATATCCGCTGTGCCCGTCGCACTGGGGGCGCGCGTCGCGCAGCCCTCCGGTGCCCGTCGAATGGCTCAGCGTCGCGCTGGCGGCGCCGGTTGCGCCCGTAGCCACGCAACGGCGTGGCTTGAACCAGCACGGCAACGGAGGATTCGAGGACGGGCAGCAGGCGGGGAGCGAGGAACGCGAAGGGGCGGACAGAAACGGCGGCAACGTCGGCAGCGTCCGCGCCACCGCTGCCGTCGCCGCGCGCGCCCGCGGCTGGCGCTGCATCGCCACCAGAAGCGCTTTTGGCAGATGATCAAAGATAACGGGGATAAGCCAAGCGGCGGAAGCAGGAGGGGGAAAACATGGCCGAGAAAGAGGGAGACGGGGAAGAGAGGGAAAACAATGAGGGCAACTCAGAATGAAGGAGGGACGAGGGGGAACGAAGGAGGGAAGAGGGAAGCGCGAGGTGGGAGGGAAGGTGAGGGCGAATAATGAGGTGCTGAGGAAGGGTGGATGGGGGGGGCGCGGGAGGAGAAGAAGCCACGGGCGCAATTAATAAACAGGGGCGGGGAGGAAAGAAAAAACGGACGAGGAAGGGGGGGGGAATGAAGGCAGAAATGGGGGCAGGGAGGATGCGAAAGAGAAGTCCGAAGGGGGAGGGGGGGGGGGCGGGGGGGGGGGGGGGGGGGGGGGGGGGGCGGGGGGGGGGGGAGAAGAAAAGAAAATATGGAGGAAGACGAAAAAGGGGAGAGGGAACGATGGATGCGCAGGAAAGGGCTAGAAGGCGCTGCAATACACGGCCGTCTTGAACGCCAGCGCTTCCGACGAGGAGGCGGCGCGCTGGGCGCCCCCGGAAGAGCTGCAGGGGCCGAGGCGCGGCCGAACCGCAGATGCCGCGCCCGAGCAGGGGCGGCCAGGGGCCCGCCCGTCTCGTTGAGGCAAGGAGTGGGGGGGGGGCGTAACGCATGCCTCTTGTCGGGCTTGCATTATTACGTCGCACGCGCTGCGGCCCCGCAGCGGCCGCAGCGTGCACCGTGGTTTTTGCGCGGCATGCGCTACGGCCCCCGATCGGTTTTCTTCGATGAGCGGGGCGGCCCGCGTGCACGCCGGCGCCCTCCCCCCGAGGTCCCCGGGGGGGGGGTCCCGCGAGAAGGGGCGCGGGGCTCCCAAAGGCCCAGAAAAGCCGGCGCGACCTGCGCCGCTGCCAGCGACGCCCCACCCCGCAGGCGGTCAGAGGAGGAGGGGCGCGAAGAAGGAGGAGGAGGAGGAGGAGCAGGAGGAGGAGGACGACGACAGAGGAGGAGGAAGGGCGGATGGGGTGGGGAGGAAGAGGGGGACGAGGGGGAGGAGGAGGAAGAGGAGGAGGAGGAGGAGGACGAGGAGGAGAACGAGAAGGAGGAGGACGACGAGGATGGGAGGGGAGGAGGAGGAGGAGGAGGAGGAGGAGGAGGAGGAGGAGGAGGAGGAGGAGGAGGAGGAGGAGGAGGAGGAAGGGTGGAGGAGGAGGAGGGGGAGGAGGAGGAGGAGGAGGAGGAGGAGGATGAGGATGAGGAGGAGGAGGGGGGGCGAAGGTAGAAAGAGCAGGAGGGCTCAGACAGGGGAAGGGCTGAGGGGAGGGAGGACGGCGGAGGGAGAGGCAATAGGGGAGGGAGCGCGGGGGAGGAGGGAGGAGCGGGGATTGGCAGGAGGAGGGGTGAGGGAGGAGGGAGGAGGGGGGAGGTGGGGGGAGGAGGAGGGAGGAAGGAGGGAGGAGGGAGACGGAGGAGGAGGAGGAGGAGGAGCAGGAGGAGGAGGACAGGGAGGAGGGAGGGAAGAGGACGAGGACGGAGGGAAGAGGAAAGA